CATACATGCATGCATACATATATACATTCACACATACATGCATGCATGCATACATTCACACATACATGCATACATACATTCACACGTACATGCATACATACATTCACACATACATGCATGCATACATACATACATACATACATACATACATTCACACATACATTCACACATACATGCATAAACAAATAACAAGCTCATTGCCCCAGCCACTCTTCTGTAGCTCAGGAATAATTATGCTCTGAAATAATTATGTTCAGTGGCTTCTCGAATTATCTTTAGTGGCTGAGTCTTCTTTAGAAAGTCTCCCCTTTGTGGGTATAGTAATTTTTCTGTTGCTGTTGTAAACACCATGACCAAAAACAATGTATGGAATAAAGGGATTATTTTGGGTTATGTTCCAGAGGGATGAATTCATCATGGCAGGGAGATGCGACAGGCAGGGCAGCAGGAGCAGGAAGCTGAGAGTTCACATTTTAAAATATAAGCACAAACCAGAGTGGGAACTGGAAGTAGCTTGAGCTTTTAGTCTCAGAGTTACCCTCAGTAGCATACCCTTCAGCAAGGGTGCACCATCTTGAGCCTCATTGGACAGGACAGCTTTGGAGCTAAGTGTTCTATGGGGGATGTTTTTCATTCAAATTGTCACACTGGGGTTAAGTATCATTGGGGAAAAATGACTGGGGACCAGGAGAGATGGCCTTTTGGGTAGCATCGTGGGAGTTTGTCATGACTGGGTGTAGTTTATCTTCACACTTCATTGTGGGGTGTGAGAGAGATGCTAAGAAAGCATCTTTTTGTGGTCTCTCTTCTCCTTTCTGTAATTCACCCAGTGGTCTTTCCAAGATCTGATCTTGCTTGGCCCAGTTTGGCTCCCTCTTTAATGGAACACAAACCCCTAATGTGTCCTGCAAGGCCCTGAGGACCCAGGCCTGGCAACATCATAGCCTCACCATGTGCCACCTTCCCCTCTGCTCTCTCGTGCCAGCCATGCTGGCCTCATCTATAAGCATGCACACCAAGTTCTTGTGCTTCTCGGGGGGTGGGGGGGGCTTCGCGTTTTTTCCTCCTATCCAGGAGTTGTCTGTCAGGAGGAAGGCAACTTGAATGTCCATCTCAGATGAGTCTGGGTCAAACTCTTTTACAATTTCCCAGACTGTATAAAAGTGTGTGTGTGTGTATTGTGCAATGTATAGTGTGTGTGTAGTATAGTGTAGTGTTTTTTTTTGTGTGTAATGTGGTATGGCGTGTGTGTATGTAGTGTAATGTGTAGCGTGTGTGTGTGTAGTGTAGTGTTTTGTGTGTACATAGTGTGGTATGATTTGTGTGTGTAGTATAATGTATGTTTGTGTTGTGTGTGTGTGTAGTATGGTATGATGTGTGTGTGTTTGTGTGTGTGTGTAGTGGCTGCAATAAGTATGTATGTACAATTCAGAATCATAGGTGTCTTCTTTCTCAATGTGTTCATTATTGCCTCGACATAGGGTCTCTCACTGAACCAGAAGCTCACCATTTTGGTTAGGGTACTGTTTAGCAAGCTTTGAGTGGGGATCTACCTGTCTCTCCGTCCCAATGCTATAGATACACACAGGCACACCTGGGGTTATAGATACACACAGGCACATCTGGGGTTATAGATACACACAGGCACATCTGGGGTTATAGATACACACAGGCACACCTGGGGTTATAGATGCACACAGGCACGCCTGGGGTTATAGATGCAC